AAAAAATATTTGCTCATACACATGTGATTTTATTTCTGGGCTGTCAATCCTATTCCATTGGTCTGTGCATCTGTTTTGCTGCTAAAACTACGCTGTTCTGATTATCGTAGCTCTGTAGTATAATTTGAAGTCAGGTAGTCTTATACCTCCATTTATAACAAATGCCCTGTAGAGGTGTAGCATTGTTCGCCTTTTATACTGTGTTTTTACTCAACCTTTTTAACACTTATGTTTAGAGACACAAACACTGTGTGCCACCATTATGTACAGTATTCAGCACAGTAATACATTGCACAGGCTTGTGGCAGGGGAGCGATGGGCTGTATCACGGAGCCTAGGGGTGGAGCAGGCTGTGCCGTCTAGGTTTGTGTGTGTCCACGCTGCGATGACCGTGCAGGGATGTCATTGCCTAAATCACCTGTTTCTCAGAACGTACCTCTGTCATTAAATACCACAGGACTGGATTAAGCGGGCAGTAAGAAGATAAGGCTGGGGTGATGAAGGTGATATGCCGATGCCTGGAGCCTGCCCTGCACTGTGCTGGAGTAGCCAAATGCTCAGGTGAAGGCAATAACCGGCCGCCATCACCGGCCCTGTCTGCCTTTCCATCTTCTTGCCCACTGATTCTGCACTTGGGCTCAGCTCTGCACACACCGGCTGTGCTCTTCCACTTAAAGACCCGTGTTTCTGGTGTCCTCACCACCTGGAATGCCACACACCCCACCCCCACGTCAGTCCCAATAATCTAAGTCAGAAAAAGTTGTTCCCACCTCTGAATAATTGTTCATATCATTGACTGCTCTCTATTGCTTAATGTTCAGTCCTTTTAGTTATCTCTCAAAGTATGTGCCCTTTGTCCTGTATGGGGATGGGACTTAACTTTATGGTTCTGTCTACCTCTCTAGTACTATACATCTTGCTCGGTAAAAACATTTAGTTTCCTGTTAATTAACTCAAATGTATGGTAAAACAATACAGGGATCTGTGGTATGATGATTTTAAACAGCTTTAAAATAGCTCCAACAACGTGAAGTTATAGAGGGTATTTGATGCCCTTATTTAATGACAAGTTTTATTGACTCCTTTTGAGTTAATAGCATGAAGAACTCAATTCTTATCACTGTAATTAAAGATGATGTCAGGAAGAGGAATGCATGGTGACTAAGAAGTCACCCTTAGCCAGCCACCCGTCTGACTCTGTGTGTATGTGATTATAAGACTGGAACAGCTTTTTAGCACGTGTGTGTGTGTGTGTGTCTGCCTGTCTGTCTGTCTCATAAGCATTTGCATTGCTGGGCCCTGTGCATCTTAGTATAAGTATTACCATATAACTCATATTTTACCATCCAAACTCTGAGACTATGTGAGAATGAAACAGGGCGCTATTAAAAAGTTGCCAAGGCAATAGGCATAAACCAAGATTGTCCTGGGCATAAAAGCACCCTATGATTTTTATTATAGACAACTTCACACATAGGTGTAAGGAAGCAGCCCAAATCACAGACTGAGGTCATTATTCATCACCGTGTTGAATAGCCAGCAGGAGCCTTTTCCAATAACAGAAGGATCCAAACCTTTGAATTTCATCAGTTTGTCCCTGTAGAACTATTGCATGCTGGGACTTGGAACTTCCAAACTTTGTCTCCAGTATCAATTGGAAGCTGGCCGGCCTGGAGGCCTAGTCATCAGCCATTCTGAACTCACTGCTAGATGCACAGAGGCAGCACTGGGTGTGGCGATACAGTGACAGTTGTGGATTTCTTAGAGCCTGTGCCATGTCTGGCCTTCTGGGGATTTCATGAACCTCCGGGCCTCAGCTTTGCGTACTGTTGTCTCAGCCTCGTCCTTTCCCATTTCCCTCATGGGGGTTAAGTGAATGAGGTCTAGTCTTAAAAATCTGAACTCAGTCCTCGGGACCCTCTTGTGATGAGGACATTCTGAAGGAAAATGTATCTCATCGGGTGGTAGGTGTTCTTAGTAAAAAGTCCTCCATGTGATGTGGGGGGGGGTGGCATGGGTGGATAGGAATTTTGTGTCCAGTTTTGCTGTGAATCAAACTAGTTCTAAAAAGAAAGCATATATGAAAACAAATCTTGAATCCTGTGATCACAACTTCTGGTAACAGAACTTAGAAAGTGAGTTAGTGCCTTAGAGAAAGACTCTGAAATGGGTTCCTGGAATAACTATGGCGAACATTTATTAAGAGCTAAGTGTGTGCCAGGCTCTCTCTGATGCACTTGAACTCATTTGCTCCTCACAGCACCCCATGAGGGAAGCACAGTTCCTGTCCTTGGGATTTTAGAGAAGAAGGCGGGACACAGAGAGGTGAGGTACTTGCCCAAGGTCACAAGTCCAGGAAGGGCGGAGCCAGGGTTCAAGCCCCAGCAGCGAAGGCTCCAAAGCTGGTTGCCCATCCCCTCAGGATATGGACAAGTGACCACGAACTAAGGGAATCACTGATTTTGCACGAAGAGAATAAACAGAGCGCACTACCTGCTGCGGCAACAGCTGCCTACTCTCCTCCAGGGGACTTCAAGGGCTTTCTCAAGGGTTAGGAAATCCTGCTGAGAGGCCCCAGGAGAGTTCAGAGCCGGTTCCACTTTGGTGGAGCCCTTCATTCTCTTTATAACAGGGCACTCAGGGGCTTTCAGAAAAGCCCTTCATAGCCTCGTCCTAACTACTAGTTATCCCATACCAAGCCTCAGTAAACTTGAAGGCAAAAATGAGTCCATTCTGTCTCCTAAATGGCCTCCCACAGAAATGTTTTATAGAATGAAATAATATGATTCCACTGAATGTGGCAAGAGCCAAAGCAGAGGGGAGGAAACAGCTGCCAGAGACAAATAAGAAAGCAGTCTGAAGTCTTGCAGGTGGTGATGGATCATTACTGGAGCCAGTAGAGCTGCAAAGGAGAAGATGCACGTGTCCTTCTTCCTCCTTTGCTCGGGCTCATCCTGTGCTTCTTTTTCAGCCTTTGTGACTCGCTCGTGTTTTAGAATTCATGAGCTGGATGGACTGAAAATCTTGGCTGAACCTATGTTCCTGACCTGGGGGAAAAAAATCAGTCTGCACAATGGTAAGTCCATCTGCAATTCACTCCTCACAGCTGCTTTCTGCGGCTTTGAATCAAGCTGCCGGAATCTTCCCCCGTCTTGGGAGCCATTTCATGCCTTTCAGTACCTAACAAGACACCACATTCTCCTTCACCAAACCCAGGCAGGGGCAGTCCTGAATTGGGCAAGGCCTGTTTCCCTAGCAGCCGTGCAGACATGTACATCCACCAAACAGATATTTAAAGACACAAGAACTGAAAAACGGTGGAGTAGAACCAAGCACACAGACACACTTTCAACTAGTAGCAAAGCTAAAGCTCTTTTCTGGAAGCCCAAACTTTTAACACAGAGAGTCAGAACTATAGGGTCCCTCACTTAAATTTTTTGCTAGTGAGGCCTGGATTTTTTTGTTTCCAAGATGGAATAAATAAATGCTGAGGTGAACTTTTTTCTTTTTGCTAAACATGACAACTGAATTAAAAAATAGAGCAATGGCAAAGGATTCTTTTTCCTCCTCCTTGCACCATGGGTGTGGGTTCTCTCAAAGGCAGACCTAAAGGGTTTGGGGCTAAATTCAGGCCTCAGAGGCCGTTCCTGTTCACCCTCTGGGACGTCCACACCTTCAGAATGGGTAATGGGCTTCAGGAGTCCCTGGCAGACGGATTTTGGGCAGTGGTTTCTGGTTCAGTGCTGATGGGCCTTTAAAGGGTTACTTGGTCACGTTCCATGAAACTTGAGCCATTAGACACTTGAATGGCTGAACAGGATAAAGGAAGCTCTGTTTTTGGTCATAATTCTAAGATATATTGGCAAAAATTTAACATTGTGACAAATACCACTTCCCTTCTCTGGCTAAATTGCTCCTCCCATCTTTTCCAGCCCTGTTGTGCTCTGGTAGGATGGCCCTGTGTGCTCTAAAGGGGTTGCATTTCAAGTCAGTCAAGTGTTCTATTCTTGGTAAAGCACATGCCATTGCAAAAGCAGTTTCAGGCTCATAGCATTTTAGTACTGGGCCTGGTTCCACAGACCTATGGGGGTGAGTGAGTGGGTATGGAACCAGTCTTGACTGGATGCCTCCTGAGAGCCGGCACTGTAATTGTGTAGAGTTACTTCATCTTATTAACTGCTATTGTTACTCCCGGTTGCCAAATGAAGAAATCTGAGTGCATTTATAAGGTTAAAGTGACTTGCTCAGCAACCTGTGTGTGCCAACGGCGGGCTCAATTCGAGGTCTGACAACAAAGGCTACATTCTTTTGGGCTGCCTCCAACCGAGCGAGGGTCGTCTTAAGGGCTGAATGGACAGTGGAACAATTAATTGAGGTCCACATTGCCCGGCACGTCCCCATTAGTCTTTCCTAGCTCCCCGGCAGGAAGGGGCCAGAGGCCGTTGTCTCCACATCCTTTCCTATCCTTGCGGTTTGGTCACTTTCCTCCCTCTTCTCTCTCCCGGCCAGACACCTAATTCCACCCCCAGTGTCCTGGGCTACAGGCGAGTCCGTCATTCGGCTTCAAGCCATCAGATCCCGCAGGTAAACTTTAGCTGGCTTCCCTCCTCCCAGCCCTGACGACACCAGACCTTACACCGCCCTCCCAAACCTGCTAGAGACCCCAATTGCCTCCCTCTCGGCCTCCGACCCCAGCAACATCAAATACAACCGATCTCTTAGTCCTCTTCCCTTTGCCCACCCCCCAGGCGGGCCTTGTCCAATAAGGTCTTGGCCCACGGGCCAAAGACGTCAAAAGTAACCAATTGTCTTTGCTAAGGCTCCACCTTACGCTGAGGAGCAGCTCCTCCGGCCAATGGGTTATCCTCTGGGTGTGCTGAAAGTTCGGGGCTTGAAGAGCAGCGGCTGGGCTGCCCAATGAACAAGCAGGTTCCTGTGGTTAAGGGGCGTGGCAGAAGCGGTTGTCAGGGGCGTGGCAGCAGTTGCTTGGGCGGGGCGGGTAGCCGCGGGAGCTGCACTGGCCAGGGGTTCCGGCTGCATTTCCATGAGCGCCACCGGCAGCCGCGGAGCTGTAGGACCCCAACGGGGGGTGAGCTGGGCTCTGTAGTCACCCTCGCACAGGTAAAGCCATAGCCAAGCGAGCTCCACTAAGCCGGGATCGCGCCTCTGATCCGGATCCGTCGGGCCATCGTGGCTCAGTCATCGTGGCTCGGCCCATCGCTCTTGCTGGGGATCTTCCGGGCCTGTCATCTGGCACTGTGGGTGGGGGGGGTGGGGGTCCCAAGGTCCAGTTTGCAAAGTGGCAGGGAGGGAGGCAGCTGGGACCGCAGCGTTTAGAATATGAGTTCCTGAAAGTCCTTTGTCCCCTCCTGCCTCAGGTACCGAGGTTGGGCACATATCCGACTGTGGCCAATCTGCCGACCAAACCTCCATCCATGCTCATTCTTGGGACCTCTGGGATGGGGGGTGCCTGCTGGCCCGGTCTGGGATCCGCACCTTGAAGGAGGGGGCCACAGTGCCCGATTATACCCGCGGATATCCAAGGGTCCTCTGCGTTTCTGGGCTCCGTGGGTGCACCCAGGACTGATGAGTTCGAGTTGTAGGAAGACAGCTTTTGACCCACTTGGAGGCGTCCTTACTGAGCTCTCTCTACTCAGGCACTGCTCTGGGCGCTTCGTGTTCCTCACAAAGAGAGCTGTCCAGTGCCTCGACCTTGGAAGTGTCCAGGCAGAGGCCAGATTACAGCCACCTTTCAGGGATACTTAGAAAGGACTCCAAGGGAGGACTGCATAATCCACCTGTAAGGCCTTTCTCCACTCAGACGCATTCTGGGTGACCTTTAATGTCTAATTTGAGGATACTTATTGGAGTACCTCAGTTTGGGACTGGGTGTTACATTCACCCACAACAGATTGTGTAGTCTCAACTCTCAAGGGTGGGTGTTAGAAAAGAGAATGGACTATACCAAGAAGATATTTAACCATCGGGTGCTCCTTATTTTGAATCGTGGACTGCCTGTGTTAATCTTCCACTTTCTCTCATTCAGCTTGCCAGTTTCGTGTACATTCCATTAACTGGATTTGACTCCGGTTCCAAGAACAGGCTTGTGAGAGGGGGCTGGGGAAACTGTAGGTTTGGCAGAGTAAATGTGCTCCTGCCTAGAGCTTTTTGAGGGCCATTTTGCTACAACCACATTATGTCCAAAAGAGAAACCATACAGTGCCGCTTGACTACCCTGTCACGTGCCTGAAAAGACAGAACACAATAATCTTTTGAAGGTCAAGAGGCAGGGAACCCTAATACCACTGCTGCCTGTTTTAGGATGAGTTAACCTTTGAGTAACCAGTCAGGAAGCAGATCAGTCCATGTGCAGCAGAGACTTGAGGCGTTTTAGAAGAAATTAAGGCCAGGGGAGGTCCCAGGGCTGACTGGTTGTCACAGAGCAGTGAGTGAAGGATGATATATCGATCCTGGATCCATCAAGGTAATGACATGTGTTTCACTCCCAGCCTAATTATCTCACTCTTGGTATTTAAATTCTAGGGGAGACCAGAGAGGTCAGGAGCATAAATTTTGGTGCCATAGTTTCGGTGCATAGTTCTGGATTTGAACCCTTGCTCTGCTTCTTTCTAGCCGTAACCTTGGGCAAGTTGCTTAACCCCTCCATGCCTCTGTTTGCTCACCTCTGAAACAGAAGTAATAATGCTCCTTACAGGGCTGTTTTGAGGAGTGTGTGAGTTGCCATATTTGAAGCATTTCAGCCATGTCTGACACACAGTAACCACTGTAGATTTCTACCACTGTAGAATGTTCTGTTGTCCTTTCATACAGTTTTTTATTACAGCTACCACCCAGTATTTTCTATCAGGAGCTTATTTTTTTCCCTGCCTGCTTCCCTACAATTCATTATATATATTCAGATTTTATTGTAGCACAGACGTCAGTGGGGTTTTCCAAGTCACCTTGCCTTGTATTTATTTTTCTGTCTTTTATTGAAATAGGGCATTCATTTTTCCCTGTTATTATTCTCCTTGTGACTACACTCTTTTTAGACTCCAGATCTGTTTTATTCTCTTTAAAAAGGCGGGTGGGGGAATCCCACAAAGTGACAGTCCTGGATGATACCTGCTTCCTTGCAGTCTTTCAAATATCTCTTCCCTCTGCTCGGCCCTCCTTCCCAGTTGTCAGTGTGATGCAGCTTGATTATAAATGGATGAACATTTTTAGATTAAGATTTCATGAGCCACTGTCTTAAGTGCTTTTCGGAAGTTCGGGGATCATGTGTCAAATGCATTTAAGCCGGTTACTTAGTCATTCGAGCAGGAGGAGCCCCAGCAGTGCCGGCCTCGCCAGGCAGAAACACAAGTGTGTGACTGATTCTTGCTGGCGATCCAGCTTGTTCACCGGATTTTCGGTGTTTTTTTCTGTTCATTTCTCGAGCTTGAAATAAACCAGATGGCATGTGCCAGGGAACAGCAGTCTTTAGCTCTGGTTTTAGGTGGGGAAATTCCCTCCCTTTCCTTTTTACTTTCTTTCACCTTCATTTCCTTTGTCGCCTTCGCAGCTTTGACAACTGCCTACTCTGTGTGCCGGCCAATTCTCTTTTAATGAGAGGTGCCTGTCACCTTTATTTTTTGCCGGAACCTAGGCACCTTTGGTGATTCCTTCTTTGTTTTTTCATGTTTTCTAGAATAAACCAAAGAGTATGGCCGTTCATTGATTGGCACCTGCATAAGAGTGCATTCTGAGTTTTGGTTTTTTTGTTTAGGACACTCTGGAGCTCAGCCATCTTAGAACAATTGCCTTGTTTCCATTGTTTGTATATTAATAATGGGTCCCTTTCTCTCTCTCTCTCGCTCTCTTTTCTCATAACGACCTGGTGAAAGGGCTTCTCGTTTACTGTTATTCTTTAATTCTCCTCTCGCACCTTCCTCCTGGTAATCTCTGGCGGTGCCCACAAGGAGTAGAGGTTTCCCCATTGCCCTTGTCCAGAACATGAAACATTTCTGTGGTCCTATGGAAGACAGGGTCAGAGTCTGTCTTATTGTTTGCCTAACGCCTGGCTCTTTGAAAAGCCGTAGCAAAGACAGACTTCCAATGTAATGGAGTTCCATGTGGCAGAACTCTGCTATGACCTACTGCTTCCACTATTCCGACTTCTAGCACAGTGCGGGATCATTTTCATCTCTGCACATTTGTTTTTTGTTGTCTTGGTTCCAGGGCATCATGTTTTTGTGTTAAATGTTTTCCGTTTGTAAAATGGCTGGCATGGTCAGGAGGCCAGACCTGTCGTTGCCTTGGAAGCTTGTGCTCTGGACCCAGGTGGGCGCGGGCCTTGCCGCACAAGGACCCGTCCTCTGGTCTTCCGCAGTCCAGTAGTGTGCAGGTAAAGAGCTCGTTACAGAAGTGGAACCTCGAGGCCATTGGATTTGCCTGGTTCTGTTCTTCTTTTGTTTCCGTTCAGTGGAGGTCCATTAACTTCAGCAAACTGAGCATCTGGTGTGTGCCAGCGACACAGCTGTCCAGATTAACAAGTGTGTTTGGTTTCCTGCATAAAGGCTATTTTGTTTGCATTTTACGTAGTAAACATTTTTAATGTTTTTAATTCCAAAATAAATTTTTAAATAGATAATACATTTTACATGAAAGAAAACATTCAAAAAGCACAAAAGGTTAGACAGTAACTGTGTCTGTGTCTTCCAGGTCCTGCCACCTAGTTTTTTTGTTGTTGTTCCTTAGAGGCAACAGTGTTACTGATTTTCTCGTCCTCCGCACAGCCAGGGTATTTTTACATCTGTTAGCAGATTCGTTATGGATACCCCTTCCCTTTTATACACACGGTAGCCTATTATTGGGAACCCTGCTTTTCTTCACTTAGTATTTCTTGGCAGTGTGGAAAGAGCTTCCCCATCATTTTTATAAAGGCTGTCTATTTTAAATACCCCTTTTTTGTTTGTTTGTTTGTTTCTAAGGATGCTAAAACCAGTCTTATTTGGGCAGCAGCTTTGCATGAAGATCTTCCAGCATTTTATGGATCTTTCGCGGGGCAAGAGCTTTTCTTTTCTATATCCTGCAGCTCTGAGCTTGGGAAGAGGCCAAGGAGGTGGAGGGCTTCTCCTAAAGGTCCCCCCCTGGAGGGAGAGTAGGAAACACTGGAGGTTGTTGGGCCCTGCACCTTGGGCCCTTCCCAGGCCTCCTGTGCTGGAACCGCCAGGGAAAGCCTGCCGTGTTTTCTTCGGTCTCCAGCAAAGGCTCCAGCCTTCCCAATACACACGTCAGCACCTCTCTCTGCCTCTTCCTACGTCCTGCACCCAGGCGGGCTCCGTGTGCCCTTGCCCTTAGGAGCCTGCCCCTCACCCTGGGACTTCCTGCCCCTGTTGCTTCGTTGGATGCCCCACCCGTCTCTTCTCCCACTGCAGGAAGACCAGCTGTCACACCTGTGCCTCTGGGAACGGTCTTCTCCAGACCGGCCTCTGGGAATAGCATTTCTGCTGCTCTCCGGGGGGTGTTTCCCACATTCTCCAAATCACTCGACCATTTCCAAGTTCTGAACCTGACATGGCCTTGGCCTTGCTCAGCTTTCGCTGAGGATGACTCTGTAAGTAGAGAGTTTCCAGTTCTTCATATTTGAATTTCCTGTGACGACACTTAGGGCTTGTATGACCACACTGATGTCAACCTTTTCTGTGGCACCCAGGTCTTGCCTTTTGTCTTTCTCTTTCTTTTAATGTGCCTTAATCCACTTTTATTTACCTGCGTCTAATTGAGTCACCTTGGGAATCCGATGGAATCTGAAGGCGTTAGCCAGTCTAATCAGAGGTCAGGCCCTGCTGGGTGGCGCTTGGTGCTGGGCGGCCGCGCTATCAGTCGGTGGCACCACAGATACCACATCCCGTGACACGAGGGGAGAGGAAGTGTTGTCAGTGACACTTGGTCCAGCGGCTCTGGGGCACAAAAGAGACAGAAGCTAGGAAAAATGGCCCCGCTTGTGGTCGGTCACTCTGCCCCTCCCTGTGTGAGTGCCCGTTTACTTAGTCACGTCAGTGAGAGCAGTGAGTCACAAATCAGGAAGTCCAACAGAGGATTGCCAAATGGTCGTTGTTTTCAAATAAGAAAGGCAATGTCCAATCTCCTATTACTGCCATTGTTTAAGAAAAGATATTGTAGCACCCAAGATGAGGGAAGGTCAGTTTCCCAGGATGAAGAGCAACCTTCTAAACAGAGCATATTTAGATTGATAAAAAGGCTGAGTTAATGAAACTGGCCCATGGCGTTGAGTCAGCTCTTTGAAGGGGCCTAAGGTGGGTAGGTGCTTCACCTCTGTGTACTCCTAGAGCCCAACCCAGGGCCCAGCACAGGGAGGGTTCTTGGGCCTCAATTTCCTTGCGCGCACTGATGATAACTCACAGGATTGTGGTGGGTAGCAAATGAGGTAATGTCTGTGGATGCACTCTGGAAACAGTAAATTCCGTAATCGGTCTGCCCTGTCTGCACCGGTGCATTCTGTTCTGTGTTGAGGAGTAGCTGAGGTTACATATTTAAGTCACACGCATCTGATAAACTGGAGAGTTACGGAAATAGGAATTTTTACTGCCACCTAGTTCTGCGCTGTCATTTTAAAAAACGTAGTAACCTGTTAGCATCAGTCAGAGAACAGGGATGGACCCTCTCACTTGTGGTTCACAAACTTAGTATTTTTTCTGGGTGCCCAATAGAGAAGCTAGTGGTCTGGAACGGGGACGAGAATGCGTACGTGCATGACCCACTCATTCCCCATCAAAGGTCACCACGTTGGATCGGCAGTGATCGCTCACAGGCAGGTCCTGGAGCGGGACTGAGTGGGCTGGAAGAACCAGACCTCTGGCTCCAGACCAGGATCCTCCGGCCTCACTGGATACAGCAGGCCCCCCCTTTGCCTTCTCTGGTGAGCACACCACTGCCTGCTTAGCATTGTGTCCGGGTTTTTAATTTTCATTAAAATAGCAGGATGCTCTTATTATCCCCATTTAACAGGTAAATAAACTGAGGTGCAAAAAGGTTAAATTTGCCCAAAGTGACACAACCAGTAAAATGGTGGCATTGCGGCCCCAAGCCCGTGAGTCTGTCCCCACTGTGGTGGGCGGCCCCACGACCCCGGCGTCAGCACACTCCCCAGGAATCATTGCCGTGGAGCAGGGACCCTTGTAACACCAGTTGTTCCGACCGATTTCACAAACCAGTTTCAGATAGTGCGGGTATTTGAGAAGGAATTTCTCCATTTCCCCTGGATGTTAAAAGGGTTCCTATTTAATAGTAGCACGTGCATCTGAGCCTAGGGTAACCTAGGGTCAGTTGTAATCAAATTTATAGTTTCCGGGTCATACAAGTTCATGTCAGATGGAAGATGTACTATAGATATTTGGTTTGGTTGCATCGGATGTCTGGGAGTGGCCGGCAGAAAGCTCGTGTCTGCCGACGGCCTTTCGGTATTTATCTGAACACCAGAAGTTAGTTGGCAAATCCTGTCTCCCTTCTCTTTGGGGACCTTTCCTTCCTTCTGCTGCCTCCAACAGTCTGTTTTTGCTTTGAATCCTCTTTATTTGTGAGCAGTTTCTGAAGCAGATTTATAATTCTTTGAACCTATAAGAGGTGCTTTGAACAAACACAGAAAAGGGAAAAAGAAATATGGCATTGGGCGATGGTTTCTGCACGATAGAAAATGGAAAGCTTTCATTTAATTGGATAGTTGTTTGCCTGAACTTTGAAGTATTCTTCAAAACAGCCAACAGCTGCTGAGAGCCCAGGTCACACCGAGCTTTTTCTCGACATCTACAGTGGCATGGCGGTTATTCATACAGGCCGGTCCCTCTCAGCTCAGCCTAACGCAGTAATCTCGTACGAGAATTCTGCTCAGGGGATCAGAGTGGTGATACATGAGGCCTCTCCCACAGACTCAATCAATAAATATTTTCTGGGTGCCCACTGGGTGCTGAAGACCCTAAACTTAAACGTGTGTAGAATTTACACAGGAGGGTTGCATTAGACGGGCAGAGACCAGAATCCCCAACAGAGCTGAAAGGGGCATGAATCGTCACTTTTATGTAGACCCGAGAGTTTCAGATTCTCTGGATATGAAAGGGTCTTTGAAAAATGCGAAGGTGGGAGGTGGCATGATTTTTAGGGCCTGGAGGGGCCGGGCCCCGAATGGATGTCCCTGTACAGTTCGGCAGGTTGTACAGAACTATCTGGGCACCATCGAGGGCTTGCAGTGATGCTCATAGGGTGAATGACAGTGCTTGTCCAGCGTCCCGTGGGTCAGGTTACACCTGCCCACACCCACTGCCCCGCAGGTGCCAGCCCAGCACGCGTCCACCTGTGGCTCCATCTCCCTGGCTGACCTCTGCAATTCCCCTTATAAGTATAAAGCCCTGAAGCTTCATTCCACGGTGACTCATTCCCACTGCTCCCAAACCTGTCCCTCTTGTCCTGTCTGCCAGAGTCCTAACTGACCAGCATTCCTGGGCCTCGGCTCAGCCTGTGAGCCCGCCCGATGTCTGCGCCCACCCCTCCTTCTCACCTTCTCTTCGGTTCCGTGTCCCCCTGTGGCTCCCCAGCTCTCTGAGGCCACCTCCTGCTTCTTTCTGCTTCCTTTGTTTGAGTTCCTCTAGTATTTGTAGGTGGTACTTCAGGATTTCGTACTCGGGTCCACATGGATTTGCACCGAGTTCTAATTATTTTACGGATGCCCTGTATTGGGCTTTGTCCACAGCCCCGGCAGAGCCTAGAATGAGCCTGCTGTCCTTGTACCCACTCACAGGGAGTGCAGTTTTGCAAACCCTCCCCCTCCACCCAGTGGACTTGACACACTTTTGGGAGGGGTCTGCCCTCTTCATTTATGAACCACTGCATCATCCATGCTGCGATCACTTTCCCAGCTACGGTGGAGCATTTCCCTCGTTTCTGATGGAGCAGTCTCCCTTCCCAGGACACGCGCCTGCCTGGGGGGCGCGCATCTGGGACAGGAACAGCGGCCGTAAGGTGAGCTAGCAGCTGAAGCTCTGCTCCGTGTGAGGCGTCCCTGCTTCAGATGTCGCCTGGGCAGGAGTGGGTTTACCTGCAGGAAGGAGGTGCAGATGATGGGCGGCTTTTCTGTGGGGGAGGAGGTGGGGTGTGGGAGGTGGGGGTCGGTGTCGGGAGGAGGGTCCGGACTGTGCACTGCCGGGACCCTTTGTAGCACACAGGACATACCTTGAAACTGTTAATGGAACTTGATGACAGATGCCTATTATGCCATGATTTATTAAGTCTGCCAGGGTTCCACGTCACAACCAAGAGTGTCCTGGGATTAATTTCAAACTTCTTGGAGGAGGCCGGACGGTTAATCGGCTAGTTATTTCATTGCTGGTGAGACCTCTGTGTCTGTTAGGAAAGAGCATCTTTTGCAGTAACTTCTGTTTATTGGTTCACTAAGGCGAAATGGAGGAGAGTCCAGTAGTGGTGATGGTGAAACTAATATGTTGGGGCACTTAGTATTTCAAGGTTTTTTAAAAAATACTCTGTGCACTAACATGTTCACATGAGTTAAACAGCTGGCCCAAGGACCAACGTCATGATCGGTGGACCAGGGCCTGACATGGGGCTCTCTCACTCCAGGGCCTGAACCTAAACAAAACCCACATTTTCAACCAGCTTGGAATTAGAAGAGAGAAATTATTTTTTTTAAAGAGTTAATTCATTCATTTTAGAGAGAAGAGAAGAGAGGGAGAAGAACATCAAAGTGTGAGAGAAATATCCACTGGTTGCCTCTCACACTCCCTTGACCAGGAGGCCTGGCCAGCAACCCCGGCACGTGCCTTGACCAGGGAAGGAACTGGCCACCTTTCCGGGTGCGGGAAAGCACCCAGTCCACTGAGCCACACCAGTCAGGGCGAAAGACAGACATTCTTTAGGAGTTTGTTTGGTTTCTGTTTTCTTGAGAGGTACTTGCCATGCGACCCACATAAGCTCGTTTGCTCCTTTGGGTTGCAAGGAAGAGAGACCCCCTTCCTCGGGGTGAGTGTCTCGGGGCTCTCTCACTGCCTGAGAGCAGGAGAGGGAGGGGTGGTTCTGACCGCTGAACCAGGGAGGCAAAGAGACCAAGCCGATAAATATTTGTGCATGGAATACCAGTGTTACCAAGTAGCCTGGGAGCGTTGTGTGTCGTTGGCTGACTGTGGTCTCTGTTGGTTGGAGCTTGATTAACAGGGGACCTTGGGAAAAGATGTGGCGAAAGGCTTCTCCAGCCTCTCAAGGACAGGACTGTGAAACCGCTGAGTCACGAGCGGTAATGAGGGCGCATCCTCTCCCAGCAAAGGAGTCGGGAGGTCTGAGATCAGGGCATCAGCGGAGGTTCCTTCCTGGGGGCTGGGGAGGAAGTCTGCTCTGGGCCTGTCCCCTAACTTCTGATGGTCCTTGGCTTAGGGACGCATCACCCCAAGCACCACGCTCATCTCCCCCCCCCCCCCCCCCGTGCATCTCTGTGGGTGCCAAGTTTCCCTGTCCCTGTAAGGACACCAGTCATGGGGTTAGAGCCACTGTAATCAGCGTGACCCCACCTAACCCTGATTACATCTTCAGTGA